ATTAATGACTTGAATGAGGAAAGTGAATGTCACCAAGTTTGCTGGAAACACAAAAATAGGTGTGAAGGTAAGTAATGAGAATGACACAAAGAGTCTGCAGAGGGGTATAGATAAATCAAGTGAGTAATAAAATGAGGGAAATGGCTAGGTTAAGCAAACTTGGCAGAGAGAATATAATGTGGATAAATGTGAGGTCATGCACTTTGGCAGGAAAAGTGGAACAGCTGAATATTACTTAAAGGTAGAAATACTGCAGAAAACTACAGAACAGAGAGATTTAAGAATCCTCATGCATGAACCACAAAAAGCTAATATCCTGGTTCAGCAAGTTATGGGGAATGCAAGTGGAATATTAGACTTTATTTTAAGGGAATGGAGTTTCAAAACAGAGAAGTTTTGCTATATATATACATGGCATTAGTCAGACCAAGGCTGAAATACTGTAAAAAGTTTTAGACCCCTAATCTAAGAGAAGATATACTGGCATTGGAGGCAGTCCAGCAAAGGTTCATTAGATGTAGATGGACTGTCTTATGAGGACAGTTTGAGTAAGTTGGGCCTGTACTCAACAGATTTTAGAAAAATGAGAAGTGACCTTATTGAAATGTATAAGATTCTTAGCCGTCTTGACAGGGTAGATATGGAAAGGTTGTTTCGCATTATGGGAGATTCTAGGATCAGAGGGCATAATCTCAGAATAAGGGGCCATCTATTTCACACAGAAATGAGTAGGAATTTCTTCCTTAAGAGGGTAGCAATCTGTGGAATTCTTTATTGCAGGAGGGCTGTCGAGTCAGGGTTGATAAGTATATTCAAGGCTGATATGGACAGATCTGGAAGTGAATCAAGGGTTATGAGGAAAAGAAAGCAAAGTTGACTGGAGGATTATCAGATCAGCCATGATCTCAATGAGTGGTAGCAGATGCAATGGGCTGAATAGTCTACTTCTGCCTCTGTGTCCAATGCTCTTAAAGAGAGAAGGGCATGAATTAATTTTTCAATAGCAAATAAGCTGAGATAGGATCAGAAGTAGTTGGTGTTACAGAGATGTGAGTAGGAAGTTT